TCACAAATTTTCAAAAAATTCAATCATGGATTACAAAAAAATTGATTATGGATTACATAAAATTCGATCATGGATTACATAAAATTCAATCATGGATTACAAAAAAAACAAACAAAAAAAAACAAAAAATTCAATCGTGGATTACAAAAAAAGAAAAAAACAATTCGATCATGGATTACAAAAAATTCAATCATGGATTACAAAAAACTCTATCATGGGTTACCAAAAAAACAAAAAAACAAAAATTCGATCATGGATTACAAAAAAAAAACTAACATTTCGATCATGGATTACAAAAAAAAAACAAACATTTCGATCATGGATTACAAAATATTCGATCATGGATTACAAAAAATTCTATCATGGGTTACAAAAAAAAAAAAATTTAGATCATGGATTACAAGAAAAAAAACAAACATTTTGATCATGGATTACAAAAATTCGATCATGGATTACAAAAAATTCTATCATGGGTTACAAAACAAAAAAAAAAACAAAAAATTCGATCATGGATTACAAAAAAAAAAAAAACAATTCGATCATGGATTTCAAAAAAATTGATCAAGTATTACAAAAAAATACTATCATGGATTACAACAAAAAAAAAAAAAAAAATCCGTATTGGACTCGCCGATTCTGTACAGTGAATCGGAGAGTCACTGTGCAAAATCGTCCGGTTCTCTCTAGAACCAGACGATTCCCTTTTTTTTCGCCGATTCGATCTGTCCATGGCGATTCCCAAGTCGAACCGAGCGAGTCCGGTTCGACTCGACGTTTTTTTAAACACTGGTTTCAACCATAACATGTCATGGAGGTAATATCCATGTCATTATGTCAAGGAGGTAATATCAATCTCATTTGAGCAGGCCAAGGTATTATTGAAGGAAAAGTATACATAAAGACCATTTATTTTTAGTACAAAGACCATTTGATTTTAGTACAAAGAGGTCAAGGAAAAATATACATAAAGACCATTTATTTTTAGTACAAAGAGGTCAAGGAAAAGTATACATAAAGACCATTTATTTTTAGTACAAAGAGGTCATAATCACTCTTGTTTGTTTGTTAGATTCTAAATCGGGTCGTTGTAAGTATATCATTGACTAGACCTAAAGTTCAAAAATAAAATTCGCAAACTTCATGACACACCCCAAGTAATAGTCTACAATCCCACTATGGAAATCCATCCATAAATAAAGAAAATGTTCTAACATTATCAGGGATCAATTGAAGGTTCCGTAATTTGTTTACACGAACTAACAGCCCATAAAATGTCACTAAGAACATGATGTTATTGAATCTTGCGAGCGCATTAACTTACATATCACAAGCAATAAATCAACCATTAAATACAAAGCAAAATTACGGCGTGTTTGGTTTTCTCTTTCTTCTTCTGAATGCATCAGCATGGACAAATCTCAGTTCTTTCAACAAAATGGTCTACATTAATGTTATTTAAAAAGATCAATGCTATTATTATCTATCGGAATTCAAATTTGCTTTCTTGCAGCAAAATTCAAATGGAAAATTACAACTCAAGCATTCCTCAGCACCTTGGTTTATTCAATCTAACAAAGTTTCCATTTTACATAACTTTATTCAAACAAAATGGTGTGTACTTATTGAGAAAAGCTGATCATGATTACTGCATGTCCTGAAAACTAGCATTAACATAAACTGAGCTTCCAAGAAATTATGTGGAGTAGGTCATGGCCACTGATACTCTTGCTGCTTTTATTTTCTTTTTTATCCTCAAATTGAATCCCAAACAAGTATGAAATTACAAGACCCAGAAAGACTACCTCAAAAAAGTGCAGTGAATGTACGAATTTGTTAAAATCACTAGTTGTGCAGAAATAATTGTAGATAGAGCGACCGAAAAAAAAAAAGGTAAATGTAAAAAAAAAGGAATTATAGGGAGCTGTAGTTACCTTTAGATAGATATCAATGGCACGATAGAGGCCATCATCTAAGGGTCTTGCATAATCAGGTATAACGGCAGCTAGAGCTTGAAATTTCGGAAGCTTCAAGTTAACATCAGATGCAACCTCTGCAAGGTACCCGTCGATAAGCTTGGCTACCATTGTTATTCCTGTAAGAGAACTGGGTTCCATCAATTGCCCATCATCAGCCAAGCTCGGAGAAACAGCACCTGAGGCTTGATCCAAAACCAGGAAATGGTCAAGCATCCGTTGAACACAGTCAATATCATAGAGAGTTTCAACAGAGTAAGACAAGTTGGGAATGAGAAGATCTTCCAAAGAAGCCTGGTCCAACTGTGCTCCTACTCTTTTCTCCAAGTTTCCTCTACAAGTCTGGCTTGCCTGCAAGACCATAGTGTAATTTTGATAGAGAGGCAGACACAGAGAGAGAGAGAGACTCAATAGCAATATCATGACTAATGATCTCGATTCTTTAATGAATATATATTACCAAATGGTGAAACAAGCAGTTGGGTTTGTTGTTTCTTCTCTTTTTCCCTTTTTATCTTCATTGGCCCAAGCCAAAGCAGCAGGACTCAGCCAAGTCCACTCGGACAAGGCCAAGTTGTGGCTAGTTCTGTGGGCAACTTGCCAAGCACCAAAACAAGATATAAAAACTACAAAAAAATTTAAGAAAATATTCAGTAATATGTATTTAGATGATTTGGGACTTATCACATGATCCAATTTTTTATTTTTTCCTGTTTTTATTTTCTGAGATATGGATGGTGTGAATCAATTTTCAAAATAATCCATCTTTCATACTTCTCTTCATCTTCTATATTCTTCTGATGATTTCTATTACTTCTTTTAATTTTTTTCTGATTTTCAAATATTTTTTGCAATTTTTTACCTTTTTTTTTAACATTATTCCACAGTATACATTACTTGGACTCGCCCAAGTAACTCGCCTCGGGCAAGTGGTGAGATCCCAGCCCAAGACGATTATAAAAACATTGGTCCAAGCCATAAACTGAACCAGTGATAAGGATATCTATTATTCTACAGTTTTTCATGGTCCCGTTGACAATGTTATACTCTCTCGGTCTCTCTTGCTTAGCAAAAAAAGGAATTTACTCACTCTTGGTCTTATGAGTTAGAGAAACAAAGAGTGGGTCACCTGTAAAATCATGGCAGTGCGAAGTAGCCCAAGCAAAAACTTGGTTGTGGTCACACCTTTTTGCATGGGCAAGAGGCTCTCTATCTCTTCAAGAAGAACTCTTTGGTCGCCTTCTGAAGGAGCTGAAACCGACGAGCCAGGCATAACCCGAGAATTACTTTCAGGGGCTCCCGAATGCCTATTCAATCCTGGTAAATACCATTTAGCATAGAAAGCAAGAGAACCAGCTATGTTCTCTGGTTTCATCCCTTTGGATTCCATAGCCAAGATAAGCCTCTTATAAAGAGGCAAACTCAAAAAGGATACATCTTCATACCACCAATCTGAGCCCAAACTTTTGGATTTTGATCCTGCTCCTATACCATTCCACAAAAGGCTACCTCCTGGGCTCTGCAATGAGCTACTACCAACCATAGGCCAATTGAACAAGTTGGGGTCACTACAAGCTTTGGTGGCCAAAGAGTTCATGCATCTGATAACAATTTGGAGTTCTTCAGCATGAGGAAGAATATCTTCACATGTCTCGAGAGCCTTAATCGAGTCTTTCCAACTCTTGAGGACTTCATTGAGGAAACCTTCTGTTTGCACAATAAGGTTTCCCTCGCCATATTCCTCAGTCATTTGAAGATACTCAGCAGCTGAGCGTAAATAGACTACATTATGGGCTGTGAGTTCTAGTTTGATGCCATAGCAAAATTTGGCAGCGAGTTCGAAGGCTTTTGCGCCACCAGGGATGTCATCGAGGTGGAGAACGCAGCATGTCCCTTCCCCTTCAGTAGACTCTGAAATGAGTTTGTCTAGCACAGCGCTCCTAGAAAGCAATGGAAACTGCAAAAGCAAAGAAAGCAATCGTCAGAGGTTGAACACCTTGTTTAGACATTGTTATTGAAAAAGGAGCAAGTTCAAACTTTCAAATGGCCTGCAACGAACAATAGCACAGCTACCATCCATCTGTGTGTGTGTGTGTGTGCATGTAAATAATTGACATTTAGACAAAAGTAAACCAGATTTGCAGTTGTAAATTGCATGCACCCCAACAGTAAGGACTTCAAAACTTCAAAGTTGTACGCACCTTGTGAAGATGAAATGACATTTCTCCAACTTCAACAATAATATCGCTAGGAAGCCCGGTTGTGCAATACCTGCAGACCATGCATCAGTTAGCGCAAATGAAACAAATCGCAAGGATGAGAAAACTCTGCCAATTGGGGTTAACATTACAAAGATCATAAAGTCCCTAGTAATTTAGAAATGAAAATCCTAGTATACAATATTAGGTATTCATGAGGCAATAGAAGGTTCTTTCCCCCAAATAACTATCATGTCTTTAGGAATCAATCATAAAACAACAAGAACTGTGTTCACAAAGTTTTGTCACATTGACGAAGATTTGTAGGATCATATTAACTAGAGGAATCCTCATCAATTGGTCAAATAACTATCATGTCTTTAGGAATCAATCATAAAACAACAAGAACTGTGTTCACAAAGTTTTGTCACATTGACGAAGATTTGTAGGATCATATTAACTAGAGGAATCCTCATCAATTGGTTGAATTATTTGCTTTTTAGATTATTGCCCCACAATTGATAGCTCTGTTAGGATCAAGAACCACTCGAACTTGAGCCAGACAAGTTTGCAGAGATACAGCAGAGGACTAGAATTAGTTTTAGCCAGTGTTCCAGAACTTGGGCGGGTCGACTCGGACTTGGCTGAGTTACACCTTGGCAGGCACGGCAGCCTGCCAAGGTGAGTTATATTGACAAACTTGGCCTTATAAAAGTTCTTAAAATATTTAAAATTTTGTTTCTAAGTCAATAATAAATGATGAATAAACATGTTTCTATGATTATTATGGCTTTTGTGATGATTTGTGAGTTTTCCTTATTATATGCTCTATTTTTCTATTTTCCCTTCTTTTGATTTTTTCTAAATTGTTTCAAGCTATAAATTAAAATTTTCCACGATCCATCTTCATATACTTTTGCCTGTCTTTTGTAGACTTCTTTTTTCTTTTTTTCTTTTTTTCTTATTTTTTTTTTTTTTTCTGAATTTCAATTATTTTTAACTTTTTTTTTGGGGCAATTTTCAGAGCCTTTCAGGATCCTCCGTGGCTCAGGCGAGTCCAGGCATCAGCCATCAAGCTTAAATTATGCCTATGGTTATTCCTTCTCCATTAATGGGTGTGTTCCATACACATTAAGAGCATTGCCAAGGAATGAGGCTCCGATTTCCCTTAGATTCAACAGATTAATCCTTAAATAGTTCAGGGCAATAAAAAAAGTAACAAAATCAAAATGGATACCGTCAAGAGTGAAGTAGTTACTACTAATTTAGTATTAATTATTATTAATTAAGTATGATTCCAAATATTCCATGGAATAAACCTACATTTTCTGATGGCTATAAGAAAAACAAAAGCCTTAAAAAGAAAAAGCACAATATATGAATCTAGACCTGATAAATCTCTAAGTATACATTTCATAAAAAACCCAAGTGAGATTAACTGATTCTTCAACAACTCAAATGGGATTACATGAAAATGGGATTGAAAAAGTATAATATATAAACTAGGTTATTGAATTAGTAGTTGTTTTTATTAATTAAGTATTATTTGAGGCATTCAATATAATTAAAAACCCACATTTCCTGATTGCTAAAAGACAAATCAAAACCTAAAAAAAAAACACAATGAAGCCTATGAACATTGGCCTGATAAATCACTAAATGTACATTTCATGGAAAACCCAAATTAGATCAATTGATTCTTCAACAACCCAAATGGGATCAAATGAAAATGGGATTGAAAGAGTATAACATATATACGAAGTTTTTATTAATTAAGTATTATTATTGGCATTCAATAAAATGAAAAACCCATATTCTCTGATTGCTATAAAATCTTAATAAAAAAAAGAGTGACATATGTGGTCACTAAAAACTTAAGAATTATATTTCATGAAAAAACCAACTGAGGTTCACTGATTCTTCAACAACCCAAATGAGATCACATATTTTTGCAATAAGTTCATAAGCAAAATAAGAGAGAGAGAGAGAGAGAGAGGGGTACCAGGCCTGGCCTTGCCGTTGGAAGGCATCGGATTTGGAGCCCAGCTTCAAAGAGGCCATGAGAGGAGGAGAAACAGTGAAAGACTAGGCCTTTGATTTCATTTCAATTGAAGAAAAATAAAAAGTTTCAGGAAAATGAGGGAAAAACTACAAAAAGAAAACACAAGAATGGAAATAGGAGAGTGGTAAAAACCCGAGTTTTTTTTTTTTTTTTGTGAAGAAGGACTTGGTTAATTGGTGGGTGACACGAGGTCCTAAAAAGCCTGACAAGATCCTTCATTATCGAGGTGTGCGCTGACCAGGCGAGCATGCATGCTTTTCCCATGCTCTCTCTCTCATTTTGTGCTACCGCAGTAGCGTATTGTGTGTCTGGTCCCACGGCCCAATGGGAATGGAAAACGGGTTGGGCGGACCCCTAGGCATTGATATCTGCTCCACCATGTCTGAGTGTGGACCCCCGTAATGGACTCGAAGTGGGTCGGGCTTGGGTCTAACGACCAGACCTGACTCAGGTCAAATCCAATTTCAACTTGGACCCTATTAGGTCAGGTCGGGGTTGACCTAACCTAACCCGACCCGCTATCCAGGTCGATCTAAACCAAATCCAACCCGATCCATTCCCAACCGTACTTCCAAACTCTCTAATCTTTTTTATAAAAAAAAATAATTGTTTCTCTACAAAGAGAACATTTATCTTTTATACATGGAGGTGACAATCACTCTGTGTCCTTTAAATTCGAAAATAGATAGCTGTAAGAGTGTCATTTAATAGACACAAAGTTTTAAAAAAAATAAAAAAGCTCTTTCAAAAAAAATAAAAGATCTCACTTTTGTGACTCACCCCAAGACGTCCAATTCGACATCTAATGAGTGAAAATGATTGTGTTCTCCGTGTATAAAAGATAGATAGTCTTTTTGTAGATAATCTCAAAAGATAATTGATTGGGATATAAAAGTGCTCGAAATGAAGAAGATTTACGTTCAAGAGATGAATTATTTCGTACTATATCTATTTATTTATTTATTAATTTCAACGCACCCATCAAAATAAACGTGATCACGAGACAAAATAGTTGAAAATGGGTAAAATGTTAAATAGTTGTATGTTTTGATAAATTTCTCCAAAACCAATGATTCTATCCTTAGTTTCGAAGAATCGTAATTGACCTCCCATTTAGAAAGGTACGATTCTCATTCCCATATACCCATTCGAATAATTCCCTGGCTGGACAAAGCTACAGTTAATAAACAGATAGAAATTTATCAAATTGCTCATAAGATACAATTTAACACTTTTATCTTTTAAGTTAATTTCAAAATACTTTTAAACAAACACATGACCTTGAGTTGGAATAGTTGCGCAAAATGTCAAATCATTTGTCTCCTATGGGTATCTTGACAAATTTATTTAAAATAAATAAAAAGAAAAAATTTATATAAGGTTGACCTGCTGAAATGTAGAATTAAGGTGAATCTCTACAATCCTTGAAAATGTTGTTTTGATGTTGGAAAAACATGTAATCAATAATCTCAATATCGAGATGCGTAAATATGAAAATAAAAAGAGATTTCAAGTATTAAAAATAATATATTTTACAACACATTATCTGAACCGTCAATTTTCAAGATTTTCATGTGCTTGATATGAATATCGGCTTGATATGAACTATTTTTTGAGTTTAAAATTTTATAATCAAAAATAGAAATAGATTCTCATACCATCCTAAGAATTTTTGAGATCTAAATTACATATCATGACAAATTTTGGAGGTGCACCTTAACTTGATTGTTCAAAGTCGTAACCTTATGCAAAGTTGCAAACCACACACTAAATAAGGTAAGTGGAAATTTAGGAGAGTCGAGTAATTTTATTTTAGATAAAAATTATTGTAGCCTCTCTCATCTGGTTTAGTTGATTCCGATCTGGATAATTTTTGGGGAAAGCTTTTTGTCCGACCCCAACTACATATAAATTATATGTGACTCCAATTCTCAGCCATTTAATCATATCAATGTCTAGGGTTGCTCATATCACAATATCACGCCAAACGATTGTTTGATTTTTAATCTTTTTTTATAAAATCTTTTTGGCTGAAATTTGGGGCATCCCATCCTTTTCCTTGGAATGCACCTAGCAACATTTAAAAATATATTTCTTATAAAAATAAATGATTAAAATGTCCCTAAAAATTTCATGGTTATTCTTGTGACATGAAATATTTTTTATTATTTATCATGTGCACTCCTATCAGATGCATGTATTTCCCAAATTTCATAGTATAATATTTTATATAATAAATATTAAAAAAACACTTCGAGCTATTGGATAACGATCGGACGATCAAAAGCCATCTTGTGACATTGTGAATCAAGTCATCTCAACCATCTACCCAATCTGATGGCTAAGATCATGGATATGTGGGTAGGGTTACATAGAAAGTTTTTCCTATTTTTTAGTACTACTCCATAAGAAAATCGATCCCAAAATTTCGAGTAAAGAACAGTACCGGGCCATGGTCTCTTCCTAGTACATTTTGGTTCCGCGGGACCATGAGAGAACAACCATCACTGTGTCTTTTTTTTTATGTCTTGCTAGCAAATGTCACGTGGTTTGCTAGTAGTCTAGATAAAGTGAATGTACTTTTAAAATAAAAACTTGTACGGTTTGCAAACTTTAACAAGAACAGCTAGTAGCACGTGACTTCAAGATACTCCCCACAACAAATATTTTTAAGGTGCGGTTGCAACCCTAAACAATTAAAAAGGTGTACCTCCTATCTTTGTTTAGATTCATTTTTTATGTCGAAAATTCTTAGGTTGGTATGGAAAACTATTTATCATTAATAATGCATCTTGTAACAAATTATATGGACGGTCTATTTTTTAGATTTTCAAATATTTATAGAACTACTTAATACGTACCCTTTTAAAATTTTCAAACAAGTTATATGGACGGTCTATTTTTTAAATTTTCAAATATTTATAGATCTACTTAATACGTACCTTTTTAAAATTTCCAAACAAATTTTAGAGGTAAGTATTTTTCTACTACATAAAGAAGGCGCCTTATACAAAACTCACCCATTTTACATTATTTAAATAAAAAATCGATAGCCAAAACATTTCAAGCTACTAAAGGAACATACTATCTATTTACTCACTTTGCTAAAACCCAATCTATGAGTGTACGTCAAATTTTAGGAATATAACCTCTTCCACCCATGTGCTAAACACAATAAAAAAATTTTCCAATTCACATTATCTGTGGGCTTGAAAAAATAAGGCCTCAAGATTTACTAGAAATTGTCAAATTTTTGAATTTTGAGATCATAAGGTTATAACAATTAAAATTCAATGTTTTTTATTTTGAACATAACCATCTAGTGATTTTCATATAGTTCCCGTGTAATTTCGGATTAAAAAAATCTTCCCAAGTAGGTTTTTTTCTTAAGAGATAATATGCTCTCGTGGGAGCATAGTATGCACATTAAAATCAATATTTAATTTTAATTTTCTTTATTTTTCAAGTCTGTCATATATTTTTATAATTGTTTAATTTTGTCAAAATTTTATTATTTTTATTTATTCTATTTCAACTCTAATGTTTTTGCATACGTTTTAACTTTGGTATTAGGAGGTCGCAATCATATTTAATCATGAAAAACCAACCAAGAGCTTTGAGTGTTCAAAATATTTTCATTTGAATTTAGAGTTAGGTCAATAGAATACCCTCAATAACTTGATTTCAAATCTAACAGCAAAAGATGATGGTGATCTCCTTTTACCAAATAGTAAAAATATTGTATACAATGAGATCATTTATCTTTGGTATTAGGAGGTCACAATTACTTACAACTATCCAATATGAAATTTGATAGCTTGAATATATCATAATGTTCGAAAAAATTTCTTTTGAACATTGAGCTTGGTCAATGGAATATATATAGCCACCCAACTTCACATCTAATGGTCAAGATTAATTGTGACTACCTTGTACCAAAGATAAATGGTCTCATTGTATAAAGTAAATGGTCTTATTATGTTCATTTCATTTTGTTAATATAACAACTAGTTTTGTTAATGCATGCATCTAATTTTTTTATTGCTAGAATTCGTTTTTTAAGCAATGTAAGATTGTTTTTTCTTTTTTTTTTTTCTTTTTTTTCATATTTTTTAATTTGGTTTATTTTCTCAATGGCCACCAAGCTGGAAATTATATTTTACTTCACAAGCGACCAACTTATATACTTCTATATAGAATACAAGGTTCTCAAACTGACCATCCAACGATTAAGTACTTATCAACAGACAGTAGAGACACTTGGATATTTTCCCAATATGCTTCTTTGAACTTGTTTTTGTAGGTGGGCGGATTCAAATATTAGATGTTAGAACTCATCTTCCACTTATAAAAACATAATTGAGCAGATTTCAAGCTTGATATTGAAATTTGCTCATTGAGAATTTTTCTAAAGTGAGACATGTTTAGACTTCAGACACTAGATGTTTAAACCCGTTTTCAACTAAAAAAGCCGGTAGTTCAAACCCCGATGTTGAAAATGATTGTGACCTCCATGTATAAAAGATAAATAATCTATTTATAGAGAATCCCTTATTTTATTTAAGTTCACCCAAAAGATGTACACCCCATAAAACTTTTAGCCCCAATCTCATTGATTAAATCTTTAGCTATTAGTATTTCTCTCTCTCTCTCTCTCTCTCTCTCCAAACACAATATACACCATTGTGTTGCAAACTAACAGTGATATTAACTTTAGTTAGGACATTAGTTGTCCAATTTTGATTTGATAGTTGAGAGTATTTTATCTTTAAATTTTATTTTTTCCACATATTATATTTAGCAGTAGAGTATGTATTAATAGCTCTAGATTGAACCTACAAAAGATAAGCAAAACATATTTCAAATAAAATAAAATTACCAAAATACCCTTACAAAATGTTATTTTAGCTTTTGTAATTAGAATTTATTTTTATTTTGGAAAAAATGATATTATAAAGTGAGGTATACTAAGAATTTTCTTCTTAGTGAAACTTGTTGGAAAAGAGTAGTTTTATTGTCTTTGACCACATCAAAAGTAGATAGTGATGGGCCTGCAATAATACTGACTAGCGCATACCGCACTTGGGTCATGAGAAGGATAATATGATTCAACAAG